TATTGGTAGAAAATGCTCCATTATAACATGGCAATCATGTCTCTTTAAACTCTTTAACTTGAGGTCTTTCATAGACATAAGTCTTCTAATATCTGAAGAGTATCCTTCTGGAACTTTAACTTCACTTAGAAACTTACAAAATATCTTTTTATCCTTTCTAGATAGAGTAAAAGAAGTAGGTGGTATATATGTTCGGCTTCCTTTCTTCACAAGTCCTAGTTCAGTTCGTATTCCCATTTTTAACATGTCCTCCCTTGCTTTAAGACCATCCTTAGACTTTCCTTTAATATTGAGTAATGTACCAATAACACTTTCAAATACATTTTTTTCAATATTCATAACATCGAGAAAATGTCTCACATACAGAGACTTCCAATATGACAATTCAAAAAAAAATCGATCTCTTATTCCACCCACCTTTGACAACCGTATGCACAAAAGGCTTGCCAAACTGAGTACACACATCTTTCACCTTTTCAAAAATTTGGTCACCTGACAATGCAGGTAGAGCTTTACGTTGTTCGGTGTCTCCATTGAATGCTTTTCTCCATGCACGGTAGTGATGTTTAGAATGTAAGAATCTACGATGACCGAGAAACACATTCTTCTGACAAAGTTCCAAATGCGTCGTATAGGTTCCATCTTCACAAATAGGACACGCACGTTGACCTTTAAAGTTATACCCAGATAGATTCCCGTATGCTGGAAAATCATTAATTGTGCCAAACAACATCGCCCTTCCTATATCCATCATAAACCTCCACCCCGTTCTCCCATAAAATCTTTAAATCTTCGATCAAAGGTGTCAAGTATACGTCTATGTCATTCCCTGGTTGTTTAGGCCCATATATTAACATAGATAACATCATGTACTTACGCTTCATACATAGCCATGGAGGTAGGTTATAAATCATAAGAATCACAATCCATGTGGTATGTGAGATACTTTGAAGACCATGCGGGTTCATTCCATCAGTAGATAAAGCCAACCGAAGGTTTCTTGCTTCTTCTCCAAAATCAGGATAATCATTATCAATTTTCGACCACTGTGGTGAATCTGCCGGATGTCGATACTTTCCATCAATATTCTTTCATCTGCATGCCAAGTTAGGTGTCTTGCATTGGTTTCACTATGAAACATTCGCCTAAATCTCGAAATTATAGGAAAATACCATAAGACTTTTGCTGGAGACAATTTTTTTCTTATATCGAGACAAACCTCATTTAGGACACTCATTTAACGAAGCATATTCGTTTCGAAACAAAACACAATCGTTTGGACAAGCATGTATCTTATCATAGCTCATGCCAATAGAGCACAACATTTTTTTGGCCTCATAGGTTCGATTAGGAAGAACATTATCCTCCGGAAGCATATCTCTCATAAGGGCTAATAACTCTGAAACTTTTATCTGACCATCCATTGCCCGCCTTTAAGTTTTACAACTTTAATACCGCAGACAGTCTTGTGAATTTAGTGCACCCTTTATACAACAGTTTCTCTGCATTGCTTATCAATCTCTCAAACATTTTGGGACAATCCTGAAGATCTTCTTCAAGTGCATCTGTAATCTCTTTGACTCGATCAAAATCGTACATATCTGTGTCTTTGTCGTATGAAGCATAGTCCGTACTACTTTTCTCCCCCAGTTCAACATTGTCGTTACTTCTTTCACCGTGAAATATCCAACACGTATAACTTCTATCAATTCCACGCATTAGTAAATGCAATTTCAATCTATTTGCGTTAACCCGACCCACATAACAACAACCCAAGCAAGGACACTTCATTCGACTGGGGTCTTTGGCGTGTTCAACAGCAAACTTAACGAATTCCAATATCCCATTCTCGTACTCTTGTGACAATCGATCGGCAAACATCCATTTTTTATCCATTTTTTTCTACTTATTCAAGTAAACAAAAACACTATAAACGGATTATTCTCTTTTTGTTTGAATTAAACGAATTATTTTTAGAAATTTATTTCTAGAGTTAATAACATGGACTAAATATATATATATATATATATATATATATATATATATATATATATATATATATATATATATATATATATATAATTGTGTTTTTTAATTGATCGATACAGATAGAACTTGAACTTGACTTACCAAAGAAAGAAAAGGGGCTATTGGTGTCGACGACGGATGATGCGGCTTTGATGTTCTTCGAATCGGTGATGATCTTCACCTAACTACACCAATACAAAAGTATCATCAAAAACAAGTTGTATACATATTTAGGTTCAAAATACTAGTAACAAAATACTAGTTTATGGAAAATATAAACATGATAAACAATTCAGAAACCAATTAAAATAACAAAAAAATCCATCATATATATCATCTTTTATATTCCAAAACATAGAACCAAGAATCTAAAAATGTTAAAAATGCTAAATGCTAAAAACGTTGTTGTTATATATCAAGCCCTACCAAGAACCCAAAAATTAAAATGCATACATATAACCCAGTTTAGACATCAATAGGAGATAAACACATTTGGACATCAATGGATATTAACACATTTTCAAGGATGATAACTCAGTTTGGACATCAATGGAGTTAAACACATTTTCAATAAAGAACATACCTTGAGAATCGGCCGGTGTGGGTGGAGGAAAACGGAGCGAGACGGTGGAAGACGGTACGGCGGTGAACGGTGGAGGACAATTTGAGACGGAGACGGAAATGGGTTTCGCGAGGGAAAGGGTTTCTGTTTGCGTGTGATAGTGATACTGTGAATACAAATGTTCAGTTTTTTAATTTTGACTTATAGGGATTTAGACAGCGCTGGCTAAAGTGGACCTTAGACAACACTTTTGAAAAGCGCTGGCTAATAGTGACCTTTAGCAGCGCTTTTCTATTATTTTTTTTTTATGACTTTAGACAGCGCTTTCTTAAAGCGCTGTCTAAAGTGGCCCTTTGCCAGTGCTTATGATAAAACGCTTTCTAAAGCAATCCTTTAGCAGCGCTTTTTAAAAGTGTTGTCTAAGGTCATATGTTTAGCAGTGCTTTTACTAATTGTTTTATACGTTTTCCGTGTTTTTTTTTATTCACTTATAGAAGCGCTTTTGTACAAAAGCGCTGTCTAAGGTGCGCTGTTAAAACTTACTTTTGGCGTAGTGAACCGAAACTTTAAGACTTAAGAACTTATATGAATGTACAATCGGTAAAGAAGTTCTAAGTTAACTTATGTTATTCAGTTTGACAGAGTAAATTCTCTTTTTCTTGTCAAGGCGCGGTGTTGTATGTTTCTCCAAATCTCCAACTCCTTTTATAGAGTTCCATGAAAAACTCATTAGAGAGAACTTCAAACACCAGAAAGTCGTTGAAGAGAGCATCAACAGATCTGTTGAAAAGTTTTCTCAAATGGTTAATGTCGTTGCAAACTCATTTGAAATTCCTCTGCTACAAAAGGAGTTATCAGTTATAAATCTGTAAGCTTCTACAACTTTCTGATGAGTTATCATGTGTCTAGAACAAGACAAATTGTCCTTAGAGTCTAATAGTGACATGTCACAAAATCCTCGGTTCTTGAGCTTTGACTAGGTTCAAGTTTTGGTCCTTTAGAGTCTGAGTCTTAACTTATGATTCTTCATACCCTGACTCTTTAGAGGCTGACTTGTTTAGAGTCTGGAGACTTCAGGTTCTGATCTTCTTGATCATTCTTGATCAAAAGTTGATTCTTCAGAGTATGATCATCAGAATCGGTCTCTTAAGAGCTTCTTTTCAATGTTTAACGCAATTTCAGAACTGACTTTCAATCAGTATATTGATCTTTGTGCCTGTATACTTGAACACACTTTAGTATATTCAATTGTTCTTTAAATACTTTGTTATCATCTAAATCTAAGGGATATGATATAAATCACTTTTGTTCTAATTTCTTGAAAAGTAAAGAAACAACAAACGATTTCTAGGAGCTCATCAAAACCAGAATACCAGATGTTATCTTTTGCTATTTGTGAACTCCAATGGTTGATATACTTATTACAAGACTTCAGATTTCAATGTAGCAAACCACCTATGATCTATTGTGATAACCATAATGTTATTCACATTGCAGCAAATCTAATATTCCACGGACATAAAACTTCTTGAGATTGATTGCCACTTTGTACAAGAAAAACTCATGTAAGACATCTCCTAGTTACTTCCTACTAAATCACAAGCTCAAGTTATTCACTTCTTCACTAAACCTTTGCCATAAAAGAGTTTTCATTCTTTACTTTCCAACCTTAACATGAATGACTATACCATACTAAGCTCAAGGGAGGGTGTTAAAGCTATCGATGACCAATAACTTAGAGTGCAACTCACTATAGGTCCACCATTGTTAACTTGCACCTCTTGTAAAGTACCAACACTTTTGTGGTTAGTTAGTCAGTTAAAAAGGTTGTTAGAATAAGTTATAAAATCTATCAGCTTATAGATACCAACTATAACTAACTTACAAATTAAATTCAATAAAAAGTCTTCCAATTTTCTCTCCTCTTTCATTTAATTCTCTATCTTTCTTCACTTTCATAACATTCTAAAAAATACATATAATAAATTAAATGCAATAAGATGCATAAAATTATAATCACAACAGAATAAAATCACATTCTAAAATGTTTCTATGACCTCCACATGTAAACTTAATGCAAATGAGAGTAATTTGAATTTCATGATATTTTAAAAACTTAGACATAAATTGAACACACACATCATTCATATATATATGACAAAGATGTTTTGTTGTAGATATCAAATTCCCTTAGTCGTCCTGATTATCTTTTAACAAAGTAATAGAAACAAATACCTAACCAAATCATAGTTTGGTGTACATACCAACATTTCTCTCTTTTTCACAACACAATATTTTCTGTCCTTTTTCATTTCCACTTTGTTTCTTTCTCCCAACTCTGTTTCATTTTACAACTATTTCTACATAACCACTCCAAACTCCTCCTCCATCTTCCACCATATCAATACTCATGGCCACCACACCTTCACGTGCCTTTCTAAACACAGTCCAAGAAATCACTCATATCTACTCTTCACTGCCACCTAGACCTTCCATAGAAGAAGTTGAAGCTGCCACTTCTACTCTTGACACCCTTACCAACGTTGAACAAACCAAACTCCATGACATCTCAAACCAAAAACTACCGCAAGATGTTCCTCAAGAGCTTTTCTCTGTTCTTCAACAGCTCAAGAACACCATGGTCCTCTTTCAAAGTCATCAACTCAGAAAAGAAGCTCTTCACCTTCTTCAACTTGAAAAGATGTTTCAAACCTTTGGTGATCTCATTCAAAGAGCTTCTCAATTTGTTTCTCCCGATGATGATGATGATACACAGAAAAAGAAAGTTTCCACTTTAAGAGAAGCTGTGGTTACCTATGAAAAAGATGAACATGAAGAACTTCTAAAGAGTGATGAAGATTTTGAAGCTCAAAAGGGTTCCTCTCTACACAAGCAGCCTTTGATAACAGGTTAATTCCAATAATTTTTCTTGGATTATTAAATATCATGAGTTTGATCATGAATAGAATAGGACCGTTTTTGAAGACGTGCAGAGTCTACTACAAAAAAATTTATGGTTAAATCGCAGTTAAATAGACCCTCATAAAATTCGTTAGAACTTGTTATTGATGTTTGATTTATTCTTTGGTTTGACTTTAATTTTGTAGGAGATGAAAGCATTGAGAAATTGAGTCTAATGAAAGTGGCTACTATGATTGAAAATTGTGCTAATAACAAAGACACAATCCTAGAGCTTAGAGGAAAATTAGTGGATCAAATGGAGTGGTTACCACTATCAATTGGGAAACTATCTGATGTAACTCAAATAGACCTATCTGAAAACAGCATCATGGCTCTTCCAACAACAATCATAGGCCTAAAAGCTTTAACAAAGCTTGACCTTCATTCAAACCAGCTCATAAACCTTCCAAACTCGTTCGGCGAATTGATAAACCTAATTGAACTTGACCTACATGCCAATAGACTGAAATCACTTCCTGATAGTTTCAGAAACTTGACGAATCTCGTTGATCTTGACTTAAGTTCTAACGGTTTCAAACAGTTACCTGAGTCAATTGGGAGTTTAATCAGCTTAAAGAGACTAAACGCTGAGACGAATGTGATTGAGGAACTACCTTTCACAATTGGAAATTGTTCTTCACTAAGTGTGTTGAAGCTAGATTTCAATGAACTCAAAGCACTTCCTGAGACAATAGGGAAACTTGAGAGTTTGGAGATTCTCACTTTGCATTATAATAGAATCAAGAAGTTGCCTACAACAATAGGGAATCTAAGTAATTTGAAGGAACTTGATGTTAGTTTCAACGAACTAGAATTCGTACCGGAGAATCTTTGTTTCGCGGTTGGTTTGAAGAAACTTAACTTGGGAAAGAATTTTGCTGATCTAAGAGCATTGCCAAGATCAATCGGAAACCTTGAAATGCTTGAGGAGTTGGATATAAGTGATGATCAGATAAAAGCTTTGCCTGAGTCTTTTAGGTTCTTGTCTAAGTTGAGAGTTTTTCGGGCTGATATAACTCCTCTTGAGTTACCACCTAAAGAAGTTATCAAGTTGGGTGCTCAGGTAAATAAAAGTATTTTGATTTTGATGCATAGCAATAAGTTTGATTTATACCGTTAGTTAATTATAATCGTCAAATCATTATAAATGCTTAATTATGAATTCTTGTCCGTAAATCCTATCTCAACTGGAAAAAAGTCTATATTAGTAGGTTGAACGTTATCGTCATGGTTTGAACCATGACTCTCACGATTCTACATGTGAGTTTCTAGTGGTTATGATCACTTTGTCTACAAATAATATATGTTTTGTTTATGTTCTTTCAATGGTTTGATTTGATCATGTTTTGTTCATTGTACGTTATATCAGGAAATTGTGAAGTATATGGCTGATTATGTGACCAATAGGGATGCAAAATTCTTGTCAGTGAAGAAGAAAAAGAAGGGAATTTGGTTTTGGTTTTGTTCCATATGTTGGCCTAAGCAAGAATGAGGTTTTAACAAAACCGATGTTGTCCGTTCATGTTACCTCAAATTATATTTCATTTATGTATTTGTTTGGAGCATCTTATCGTTCTTTGTAAACTGTGTTTCAAGGCAAGTTTTGAGGTTGTCTTCTAAAAGAGTGATTGTAACATTTGAATTTTTGTTAATCATGTGCATGTAATACGAGTATTTGTTTATAACTTTTGAATTTTCTATTATCCTTTATGTATGCAAAAAAAATTATAAAGTGAAAGTGACAAGTTATTCACCTATATTGACTCTACATTCAATTGAATTATTTGTTATCTAAAAATCTAATGATTGATGTCGTATGTTTGAAATATATTACATATACAATCATCAAATATTTATTCACTTATCTATTAACTAAGATGACTTAACAAGATATTTTAATTAAAATCTGATCATTGTTATATCTCTCGATTCATTTAAATAATTTATAAAGAATATAAAAACTCATGTATAATAATATTGTATTTCGATGAATATAATTTTAAAAAGAATCAGTTTGCTTGTTATTTCTTTGATAATATACTTTCCTTAACAAAAATATTATAGATAAAGATGGATTAATTTCCATGCACACTCTATTATCCCAATAATAAGTCAAGAATTTAATGGATAAACATTAGCTGATAGGGAGAAAGTTGTCTTAAGTCATAGTTGACAAATGTCAAGGGATTTGTTAATCCTTAATCCAATCTCACTTTGGATCAAACCAAACATGTCAGCATCGATGGCGGCAGATTTTGTTTCATATTTTTTATCATAAAATGAACAAAATATCTAAATTTAATTTTTATTAATAACTAATGATAATAATAACATAATATGTCCTTAGTTTCGGCTCAATGGTTGATATAGATTGGAGAAAAGACAAAGAAGCAGTTGGAAAAGGAAAAAGATATTGTTGCTGTAAAACGTTGGGCTTAAACTATGAAGTTGTCGTGTCAGCAAAGAAAAAGTCGTTAAATCATTTATTTTATTTTATTTGTCAATTGTCAATAGAAGATGTTGAGTACTTTCCTGGTTGCCTTGGCTTTGACCACTATTGTATTTTTTTTTTTTTTTACTTTATCTATTTGTTTAGACTAAAAGATAAAAGATGCGTGATCTCGATTACGCGATGATTTGAGCATATGTTGACAAAAAAAGTGACTTAAGCATATGCGTTTTCATTTTTTAAGATTAAATATTTTTATTGCGCCTAAAATTTAATTTAACTTAAATTTATTTATAATCTATTATGGTATAGACAAGAAGATTGATAATGGGTTCATCTGCAAATAATTTATATACTTTATATAAGTGACATTTATGATTTTACGAATCGATTTATATAAACGAATATTTTTAATATGGTATTATGAGTCTTTCGATTTGAATCACTCAGTGTTTAGATATACGTGCTAAACCTAACAGTATTGAATGTAAGAGAAGATATTGATAAAATCAAGTCTCACATATAGATTGTTTGAGTCACATTCTGTTAATATTCACACACCAAGTCTGTAAATGAATTTATATATGATTAACGGTTAATACCGCTTTCAGTTGGCACAATGTGAAATGTTATAGATCGTTGAATTGGATCCAATGGCTGATGGCGAGCAAATAGCTCAGATACAGTGGACAACTTTTTGGCGAGGGTTCACTTGTTCATCATTCTATTGTGAAACTATTCTGATTTGGGCCTTTATTGTTGGGTTGGTCTTGCTCGACCGATTGGTCGGCCTAAAACATTTGTCTCCCAAGTCATGTATATCATGTATGAAGCTAGGATTGTTTTGGAAGCTTTGAGACCAACCTCAAGATTATTCTTATTCGTCACCTCGAAATGCCCAAATAGGTTTCTACCTTGCAAACGAGATCGAATACGTGTTGAGTAGGAACATGTGACCTCAAGAACATGAGCAGTAAATGCTTATCTTGTAATATAAACATTTTACGGTGTAAATTCTCAACGTGGCCCTAGGCTTTAGGGGTTATATGTGATGTCTTTAGAGCACTCGAGTGTTGTAACAAGATTGAGGTTACATCTAGACCATTGGTTGTGCTTAAGCATTTTCCTCGATCTTTGCTCTCATTTTTCTCAATCTTTCCTTCTCTACTACGACAACCTTCGTCGTGTTCATTGAAACGATCTGGCCGAACCGTCATCTTGTAATGAAACATCAACGAAGTCGCCACCGAACGTCTTTTATCCCGCCAAGAGGGAAAGGTAAACATCAAGAAAACCTGAAGAGAGAGAAATCACGGTCTTTCGACCGAGAGATCGGGTAAGGGAGTCTGTTACGCGAGGGGAAGGTATTAGCACCCCACACGCCCGTAGTACTCTATGGTATCCACTCTTGTTGTCTAATCTAATGGGTGTGGTCAAAACCTATGTCTATGGCTTAAAGCTAAAAAAAGGAATGCATGCAAGAAAAAAAAAAAGAAAACAATGTAGGGAAAATAAAACTTGTGCTTGATTGGGCCCTACCCCAATGCCTACATATCCCTTTTAAGGAATCAGAGCGGCCGTAGTTCGGCTTATATATTTTGGTTGGTTTGTGTTTTTTAGTTAAGACAACAAAAACAGTCAAGATGGCAAAACATCAAATAAAATAACAAACAAAAGAGATGGAAAAACATCGGCTAAATAATAACAAAGTAACGTGTCAAAGATGGCAAAACACCAAATGATAAAACATCACACCTAACAATGACATTGAGAGTCAAAGTAGGATAACCAACATGTGCGATGGAGAAACATCGGCTTCAAACAAGTATGCGATGGCGAAACATCGGTTAAAAGATAACAAGGTATCATGGCAAAGATGGCGAAACATCAATAAACCGGCTGACAAAACATCACACCTAACAATGATATTGAGAATCAAAGTAGGATAACAAATATGTGTGATGGCGAAACATCGGCTTCAAACAAATGTGCGATGGCGAAACATCGGCTAAAAGATAATAAGGTATCATGGCAAGGATGACGAAACATCAATAAATCGGATGACAAAATGTGATCGGTGGGAATGAGAACTGACTGTTTTGGAATGCTGGTTCGCATTTGCGTTTGTTTTCGCAAAATGTCGCGGTAAGCAAGAGTCGCCACCGTCTTTTATTTTATCCAACAAGGAAAGGACAAAAGCACAGAAAAATTCCTTTTTGAGATGTTTCTCGGGTTCGGGAGGTAGATTATAGAAAGGGAACGTGTTAGCACCCTTTCTATCTGTGGTTATCCATGGGCTCTTAGGTACTTGCTCATCGTGTTTTCAAAATTTTGCTTTTCTTTGTGTTTGTGGGTTTGAAAGAGTTTTTATTTTGAAGAGAGTGTAAGTGCGAAAAGTTTTGTTTTGTTTTAAAAGGAGCAAGTACTTAAGAACCATCTACCTACTCGAAAAAGGAATTAAAATGTGCTAATGTCCTTTAGACAATGCTATCCCACTATTGAGGAGTAGGTAGCATCGTCGTTGGAGTTTTCGGGTCAATTCGATTAAGGGACATGTGGTCACTAAAGCAATGTTAGGATGCCTTAGCGGTAACCCTAATATCCTAGATCATTTTTCTGAGGCAACCGTTTCGAGACAACTATGATCTTTGGACAAGAGGACGACCTCTAAAACTTCCTATACTTAATGACCACGTTCGAGGCAACCAAGTGAGATGTACCCTAAGAGTGGCATGTGCAAGTGTGTTAGTTCGGTTAATTTTATCTGTACATGTTATGGGTGAGTTATGTTGATTTTAGGTTAAAGATTGATCTTGTCATGTATTGCCTAGTTATCAAACATCTAACAGTTAATATTGTGCGGAAATTAAATTGCGGGAAATTAAATCTAAGTTATTACAAGGCGTCGGGTATTTACATCGTCAAAAACAAACCCTTTAATTTAAATTGCGGAAAATAAAAGAAAGCGATAAATAAATAAAGTCCTAATTAAAAGCTATTACATACTAGAAGCAATTACAATATTGGATAAAAAATGAAACGCGTGCGAGAAAATTAGATCGGCGCATTTTTAGGGTTTTGACCCTTTTTTTATTAAAGCAAGCATATTTTTTGTTATTTTGAATTAAATGGAAATTAAATCTAAGTTAATTAATTAATTAAATAAAAAAATATTTTTTGGGTTTTTGAATATTTTAAGGAAATAAAAATAAAATTGATTAAAATTATTAAAAACCTAATATTCTAAATTACTTTTAATTTATTGCAAAAAGGTTTAAATTATGCCTAATTAAAACTAAGTCAATTAAATTATTATTTAATTACAAAAATAAAATAATGAAATTAATGAAAATATTTTTTTGTCTTTTTCTATTTTTATGAAGAAAATAATAATTATTTGGCTAGTAATTAATTAGGAATAATAAAGTAAAACAAGTAAAATAAACAAAATATAAAAAGAAAAGAAATGACCAAGGGGGTACTAGGCCCAATTTGAAGGTGTGATTTGCAATTTCAGAGGCCCAAAACGTCCCAGCCTCGTTTGACTTTTCCCATCCACCAATGGATCTGATCTGAAGCCACTTGGCAAGTATCTGGACAAGGGCGTGTGGTGAGCCCTGCTTTGGACGCTGCATGGAATTTCCTGAAAATAAAATGCAACAAAGTTTTGGGGGACCTGGGATTCGAACCCAGGTCCCAATGGATTATGCACTAGCCTGCTTGCCAACTCAACCAACGCGTTCTTTTGTTATTGGGATACCAAACAAATATTATATTCAAAACAAATTAATATGCCTGGCAATAAAAAAAACAAGCGCGAAATTTAAAAGGACCAATGGGAAGAAGACACACTTCGTCTTCTTCGTTGAAAAACCAGGATTTTTACCTGCGGATTTTATCCGCAGCAGAATCCATAGATTAGTCCTAAAATCCACTCTAGGCTATAGAAATGCAATCCAAAGCCATGGTTTGCTTCGTCTCTCCTTCCTGATCATCTCTATATCCATTATTAGTCCTAATTTCACCTGCAAAGCAAACGCCTA